GTCGTTGAAATACTGTGCTGCGGTTAGGCTCTCCTGTTGCCTGTTTGTACGCTCAGGCGATTGGTAAGTAGACTTAGACTCTAAGAAGCAGCGCCAGGAAGTCTCTGTGAGGTCATTGTGTTCATTTTTTTCCTCTCAGTAAAGGTAGCTCAAGCAACATTAGAAATTATATATATGTGCCTCTAAAATTAGCCTCTAATTGCTTAATTTTTATAAACTTCAGGATGGAGGCATAATCAAAGTTCTCATTTCTACTTATTATAAAATTGTAGCGTAAAAAATGGTGTATCTTACGTAAGTGTGCATACGTGTGATCTTCAGTGCCTGATCTGGTATAGATGCTGAGTACTTGATACCTGGAGGCTGACAGACCGGAAAACTGCATTACCTCTTCCCTTGTGGGATTCCTCCTTGGAGAGCGTATCTTCGAAGGAATGAATCAGGTGGTAAATCGGATGGGGCTGGATGGGGCTGGTACTGCTCAGTTAGCTTTTCCTTTGTCATACCAGAGACATTGTGTTGGTCATAATGAAGCCTGTGAAAGATGAATGAGTGCTACTAGAAAAACAGCTCAACACATGCTTCATTTTGAGTGAACCTTCGAAATTGATTTAGTATGTGAAAGAAAACACACTTCTCAGCCCTGGTAGGACGTGCAGTGCTGTCCTGGAAAGGGAGCTCTGAACTTTGAATCTGATCATCTGGATTCTAGTCTTGGCTCTTTTTGACCTTGAGCAAGTCATTTATCCTCGTTAGGTCTTCTGTCAAATAGTGAGGTTGGCTCATACCATCTAAGGTCTCTTCCACCTGTAAATTCTCAGACAGTAGAGCAGATAAGGGTATGATATTGACTGTTGGCGTGCTTTTATTTTAGGCATTTTAATCCCAATATCCCTGTTTTTATTTTGGCAGTTAGTTGCTTTAGGGAATATGTGTGTGTATGTATGTGCATATATATATAACGTATTCTAAATTTACATGAGAATAAAATATTTTATGGCTGTCATTTTAGGCTAGCACAATCTGTTACAGAAGGGTTCTGTAGGATCTATTCTTAACTCTTGAAGTTACAGAAAAATTTCCCTTTCGTTTTCGTGCTGTTAAGACTCTATAATCAGTCTAAAATAGGTGCAGTATCGTGGTCCTGTTCCTTGCTGCTTTAAAGTCTTCAGAATTCTTTTAAACAACATTTTTCCGTTTGTTGGTGATCTTTTAAATATTCAGTTTTTTCCCCTCAGGCTGTTGGTGTTAGGGAAACTGATGCTTCGAGTTTTCAATATGTTAAAGCTGTTATTTCCTGAGCCATATCTTGATATTTACCGTACCTGTGCATTATGGCCTCTCCTTCCTTCATTTGAAAAGTCTCAATATTAAATCAATTTTCAAAGAGGAACCCAAAAAAGAAAAAAAATTATAAGCATACTTCACTTCGGAGATCATTGTTTTTAATCAATAAAATGTCAAAATGAGTTGCACGGTGCATTCAGTTGTAGAGTAGAACTTATTTATGTTGCCGTTTAGCTCTGAGAAGCAAATCTTTTTGGGTTTCTTACATGTTAGATGTATTTTTCATATGGGAAGAAATGTTGAAAAGTTACAAAGAATATGATCAAGAGGCTTGTGAGAAGGTGAGTTTTTGGCAGTTTTGAAAGTAAATACGGATTGATAGAAAAAGAGTGTTTTCTGAAATAACTTAGATTTTTTCCAAAAAAATTGGATTTCTATATTAATCTTTTATTTGTTGTATGTTAAACCATGGAATAAAACTTAGTTTGGTTGGTTGCCTGCAATTTAAATTTAGAAACATATTTGGGAATAGGAACTGTTTCCTGTCTTTAAATTTATTGTTAGAGCATAGTACTTAGTCCCAGATACGGTGATTGATACTTAGCATCTCTCTCTGTATTAGGCATCAGAAGATGTGTGAAGCAGATAAATCTGAAAGTTTAGGGCATAAAATGTCATCTAATTGAGTATATATTATTTTTTATGTCTTCTTAATAATTGAAAATAGTTGACTTGGTTCAAACAAAGCTGCTTAGCTGCTAAGCTGATTTCTGTGTTACAAGTATTTTCAGAAATACAGGTTTGTGATACCACCTAAAATCAAAGCACAGATTTGGTGAGCAAATTCTTAGGAAATGTACTCTGATAAGTGCACAGGAAGTACATGACAATCATAGAACAGTTCTGTTTTAAATTAAGGAAGATACTTTGTGCTATATTCTCAGAATAGCAGGTTCTGTTCAGAAATTATGAAAAGAAAAATTAGTCTGTATTTTTTTCAAAAATGTTTAAAGATTTTAAAGTTTCATATATACTTACAAATTTATTTTTACTTATTTAACAAACACTTATTTGTGGTTTATTGTAAGTGCTGTACAATGTTAATTTATTAAATCTTTGTAACAATCCTAAATATTTTCATGAAGAGAAGTATTTCAAGAGGATAGTTTAAGTGCTTTTGCTAAATTTTCTTTTTTTTCCCCAGTTAATTTGACAAAGGTAACTTAGACAAACCACATTTAGTTTAACGTGAACATTGTAACCTCATGTTTTGTAGTGAAAATTTTGTACTGCTCAGTGGTTTCACTAAAATAATACTTTATGTTAAAAGATTTAAGTATTTTAATGGGGGATATTGGATAGGCAGATACTCTGTTACAGATGTTTGTGATACAGGGAAAAGCAGAGACCTAGACAGAAATAAAGGTAAGCTTTACTTCATCTCCCAAGCATTTATTTTGTCTTACTGTTTTTTGCACGAAGTAATTACTTTGGAATTTTTTTACAGCATATAGATTTGAAAATTCATTTGGAAAAATGATTATCCCTAGTTAGCATAATGTATCATCTATCCTTTTTAAGGGACTTTATTGTTATTCCTTCTCAGATCAGGGGAGATAAAATAAAGCTCTCATATTTGTAAGGAAGGTGCTTTTTACTTTTTCCAAAGTATTTTCTACCTTTATTATGAGGTAGTTTTTCTCTTGGGTTCCTCTCTTTGAGGGCCCTTCAGTTTTTTTGGTTTAAGTACCAAGATTGTGAAGATTTTGTTGTTTTTGCTTTTGCCTTGTGATTTTCTCAGTGACATTTATACCAACTTTCTGGCACATTTAATACATACCATGCTAGACAGTTCTCTGGAACTACTAAAGTACACATGGAATTTGACTCAAATAGGTATCTTATTTTAGTATTGAATAGTTCAGATAGGTATCTTATTTGAATATTGAATTAGATACCTGTTTAGGTGCCTGTGGTGTCCTGTCTTCTACTCCCTGCTCAGTAAGCTAATAGTGAGTGTTGTCTCTAAACTATTTATGACTCATGTAAAGGTAAATTTTACTTTATTGGTGAAATCAGTAGGAGGCAGAATGTGATTATCTGACATATTCTGAACACCTTTTGGGTAATAATGCTCTATCTGCATTTATCTGTATTATTTAGAAGATGCAGGGAAAAGTCATTACTGTAGATGACATTTCTCACATTTGAATTGAACCTGATACGTACATCTATAGTGTTAGCCTTAGTGGACATTCAGTAAATATTTGTTAATTAAATAAGGAGACTTGGGTTCTATTTTCAACTCTTCTACTAAATAGACAATATTCCTTTTCTGCTGTATACACCCTTTTAGAACTCAACTGGTTTGCATTTCACTAGGACAAATTAGAGGACCAAAAAGTACAGTGAATCAAAATACTGAGTGTTTTAAGAGAAAAAGAGCTGGCAGTGGCATGGTGTGCTGCTCCGAAGGTGAGAGGACCAGACCTGATGCGTGCTGCCTTGAGATAAAGTGGGCAGATTGGGTGATGAGAACGTGATTTAATCCAGGTGTCAAACCACATACACTTTGCAGCATTAATTGGTCCTGTCATCTGGGAATATAGCCTGGTATACGGCATAGAGATTGCCTAGGGGCTTGAGTCATTTTGTTTTATTTCTGTTATGAATAGGCCAAATTTCATTTGGCCCTGGGCTAGTGAGAGTGCTTAATTTGAGGATTCTTTAGAACCATTTTGAGAGTAATTTCTTTAAATTAGTATTCCTTCAATTAAATATAGAACTTTGAATTTTGACACACACCCTCTCCTTCCTACCCACTCTGTCATTTATTTCCCACCCACTCTTACCCAACACTCCATCAAGCTTCACTTTTCTTCTTACCTGTTCTTCCGTCTATTTGACAATTTCGTATCTATGGCGCTGTATAAGATAAGAATGTCTCTATCATATGCCAGGTGAGTATCTGGGTGCAAAGAAGCTGCATCAGACTTGTTCTAGCAGTACTGCCTGTTACATTCTCTGAGAAGCCATGCTATCATTTAGAGCAAAAAGGGAATGGACTCTAACCCTCTTTTTTTCTCCTCTTGGATTGAAACTCTGGTAGGGTGTTGTAGTTCTCCTTGTGGTTGAGACCTTCTCCCTTGGCCCAGCATCAAGGATCGCCTGTTCAATCCTAGTTCCTCCAAAGAGTAAAGCACTACCTCTCTCCCTCATCCCTTTCTATCATCAGGTTTCCTTGTGGATCTGATGGTTTGGCTGTTCTTCCTTTGGACACCACAAAGCAGTCTTTTCCCTCCCTCTTTGGGGTTTCTCAGTTCCTGCTTTCCGACTTCATATGTTCAGGGTTCAAGAGATTCAAGCTACTGCTGCCATTTGGGGTTTTTTCCCCTAGCATCTCACCTCTTTTTGACGACATCTTTACTCTTTGTAAATCCTGCCACTATTGTCTGATGGAATACTTACTACTATTTTTCTACATAATTTAAAAAATTATCTTTTGGAGAAGGCAGGCTGAATGGAAAAGAGCTAAAACTTGTCAATGGAAGGTTTGGATAGAGCCACCTATTTGCTCTTGTAGATCTAAAATAGGTTAGGGGAATTTCAGAATGCAAAAATTAACTAGTAGGCCAACTTCTAGCCATAATTTTGAGGAGAGAATCAGAGAAGAATGACCAGATAAACTATTATTACATCTTTTATAAATTTTGGTTTTGATGTCAGCCTTTTATTTTTCTTCTCAGTTGCTTTAGGTCGTAACCAGCCTTTGAAAAAGGAGAAACCCAAATGGAAAAGTGATTATCCCATGACAGATGGACAACTGCGCAGCAAGAGAGACGAATTTTGGGATACTGCACCAGCTTTTGAAGGCCGTAAAGAGATTTGGGACGCCTTGAAGGCTGCAGCACATGCTTTTGAGAGCAATGATCATGAACTGGCACAAGCAATCATTGATGGTGCAAATATAACATTACCACATGGTAGGTTTGTTTGTCCTCAGGGACCAAGTGGAACATCATCAGCTCCTTTCTAAGAGCAAGAAACCAACTGGGAAGTGTTCATTTTCTTGCTATGCGTTGTTCTAATTTTTTTTTTGTAGCAAAAGAGGAGCATTCCTCTTTGCTTCTTTGTATATCTTTCAGCTTGAGATAAGTTTATATTGTGTGTGTGTGTGTGGTTTTTTTTTTAATTTTATTTTATTGAGTTATAGTCAGTTTACAGTGTGTCATTTTCCAGTGTAGAGCACAATTTTTCACCCATACATGAACATACATATATTCATTGTCACATTCTTTTTCACCATCAGCTACCACAAGATCTTGTATATATTTCCCTGTGCTATACAGTATAAATTTGTTTATCTGTTCTATATATACCTGTCAGTATCTACAAATTTTGAACTCCCAGTCTGTCGCTTCCCACCCCCTTCCCCTGGCAACCACAAGTTTGTATTTTATGTCTATGAGTCTGTTTCTGTGTTATATTTAAGTTCATCTTCTTCCTTAGTCTTTTTTTTTTTAACTTGGTTTTTTATATTTATTGGGGGGGAGGTAATTAGGTTTATTTATTTTTATTTACTTTTTAATGGAGGTACTGGGGTTTGAACCCCAGTACCTCATGCATGCTAAGTTTATTTTCTTCTTCTCCTTCTCCTTCTTCTTCTTCTCCTTCTTCTCCTTTTCCTTCTCCTCCTCCTTTTTTTTAAGATTCCACATATGAGTGATATAATATGGTATTTTTCTTTCTCTTTCTGGCTTACTTCACTTAGAATGACATTCTCCATGTTGCTACAAATGGCGTTATGTTGTGAGTTTTTATGGCTGAATAGTATTACATTGTATTTTTAAATCTCAAGAAAGGGAACACTTGATAAACCTGTATTTTACAACTTCTGTATAATCTAGTTCTCCATCAAGTTCTCCCCCTGCCCCAGTATTGTAGAGCTTCTACTTCAGTGGTTCCTACTAACAATGGAGAGAAGTCGTCTCAGGTTTAGATCTCGGAAGCCATAGAGACTCAGTGGACAAACCTTTAGTCATTATCCTTTCTCGCCTCTGCTGAAGCCGGGCTGCCAGACATAAGTTTAATATAATTCCCAGCCAAGTGTTTGCATGAGAGAGCCTGTCAGTTGTTAGTCCTGAAAGACTGCTCGTAATAGCTGGATGAAGGGTAATTTTGATGGCCCTTTTGACGTTATTGTGAGGCTTGTAGGAAACGCCATGAAGCATAAAGCAGTGGACTCAGATGTGATGAAACTTTGGTCCTTTGTGATATTGCTGTTGGTGAGCTCTCCTCCATGAGTCTGGTTCTGAGATTTAAAACCTGGGTGAGAAGGAAACTGACATTGAGTGTTTAGTGTATGTGCTGGTCACTTTTGCATATGTTTTATTTAATCCTTAGACAACAACTTTGTGAGGTAGATACTGTAGTCCTTGAAACAGACTGAATGTATCCAAGATTAGGATCTAAATAAAAATTTGAGTGTGGTGACCCCAAAGCCACTGTTCCTTCTTTCAGGTTCACTGCTTCTCCACTCTTCTGTTCCTCTGTCAAGCTGAGCAGTGGGCTGCCTGAATCATAGGTCTAACCCGCTGTTTCTTTCCTTCCCATTACTTCTGTTATTTCAGTGATCTTGTCCTTTTTAGCTGTGTCCTAGTCACTTACATGTTTAGGTCTTCAGTTGCCATAGGAAGTCACATTTTTTGGAAAGTGAAAGAATTCATGCCTTCTGGGTCAGTTAGAAAAGTGAAGTCCGGCTGAATAAAGACATCCTTTCTCATCCTTGGAAGAGGCCCCCAATGTGACAGAGTCCTTGCAGTTCTGGACATTGCTTTCTTAATTTCTTAATTCATTTTGGGAAATTAAATTAATTAATTTCTATATCAGATTGCCAGTATGTTTTAAATATTAGATTTTTTCAGCTATGTTGATGTGTACTGAAGAATACTGAACACACATTTAAAGTGTACAGTTTGATCAACTTTGACATGTAAGCACCCATGAAACCATCACCACAGTCAAAATAACATTTTCATATCCTCCAAAGTTTTCTTTAACTTTTACAGATTTGTTCATATAGCTCTGCAAGTCTCTAGTGGTAAAAAAATTCGAGACTGAGCTGCAGTCCTTCAGGAGTGAGCATAGAGGGAGTACTGGTAGAGAGGCCTTTCTATGCTTAAAAAGATATCTTTCTTTTTAACCTGAAAGACTACTTGAGAAAAGAACAAGTATTAGACTTTCTGACATTTAGTGAAGCTGTTTTTATTATTTGGCACATCATTTAGTTTTATTTTTATAATTTTCTTGTGAAATATTTTGCAGCCTAATTAAAAACAGTCGTAGAAAACAGTTGACCAAGGAAAACAGAGTATCTGAGCCAGTCATCTAGATAGAAGATAAATAAGAACAACTTCAGAAAATTATGTATGAAATCGGAACAGAAGGTAGAGTCTTGGCAGCTTTCTTCCTACCATGGGGACATTTCAGGGCTTCCTGACCTGGAGAGGCAATGGCCTGGCACTCATTTGTCCTGGTGGCCATCTGCCTCTGCTGGGACTCAAGGCCTATAATGGGTTTTTGAGGAGAAGGGAAAAAAAGGACAAGTGTACTTCCACAGAGGATGTTTGGTGGGCAGCGTAAGCAAGCCTGGCTAGAACGTCTTTAGAACTAGTGGAGAATTGTTAAGTGAACTTCACCATCAGTGGCCAGTGGGCAATGATTAAAACCTTTTGTAGGGGGGAGGGTGCAGCTCAGTAGTAGAGTGCATGCATGCTAAGCATGCATGAGGCCCTGGGTTCAATCCCCAGTACCTCCTCTAACAATAAGTAAGTAAACCTAATTACCTCCTCCGACCAAAAAAAAAAAAAACACCTTTTGTTAATTGTAAACGCTCACATAACTAGGAGTGATTTTGGAAAGGTAGAAAAATCCCTGTTAACAGGGTTCTTTGCCTTTTGTGTTTAAACATGGGGTTTCTTTAAGAAAAACTCTCCATCTTCTAGCCATGCCCTGTTGTTTTGCACATTTCTCTCAAATATTGTAAGTGAGTTTACAGTGATGTGTCCATTCTGTCACTACATATGGTGACCTCACAGCACTGAAGCATCTTACCGCCTTCTTTTGCCTCATCTTCCAGATCCTTCTTTGACCTGTCATTAGCATCAGTGGTGAGTATGTTGTTAGGCAGCAATTGGAGTGTCATTTCTTGCCCCTTATGATTCATTTTTGGCTTTTAATCCCTTTATATTTGTCCTCTGCCTTTTTCCAACTGCATTTCTTCCTTCCCATTAACCATATCATTAACCTGGGAGTCTTGTAGAACTATGCCAAGCCCTGTAGTCTCTTCCCTATGTTATGCATTGACTTCTTCAGGAATCAGATTATTTTATTCTGTTACCTACTGTCTCTGACCTTGGACAAGCTACTTCTCTCTGCTCCAGCTTTCCCATTTGTGAAATGAGTATGATAGACTTAACTTAGAGGGCTGTTGTGAGGATTAAATGTTAATGTATGTTAAGTGCTTAGAGCTAGTAAGCACTCTGTGTTTCCATTTATGTTTGAACTTGTACATTCGAGATTCTTACTCTGCAAATCGCTTTTACCCTTTCCCCAGTATGCTTCTTCAGTTACCTTCAGATGATTCAGTTGAAGTATCTCCCCGAAACTGAAGCAGTTAAGAAACTAAGCAGAGACCCTTGTAACCCTAAATTCTCCCTCCCTCTCGCTCTCTCACTTTCTCTCGCTCGCTTGTGCGCGCGCGCTCTCGCTCTCGCTCTCTCTCTCTCTCTCTCTCTCTCTCTCTCTCTCTCTCTCTCTCTCTCTCTCTCTCTCTCTCTCTCTCTCTCATGCGCGTGCGTGTTTCCTTGTTAGGTGATTCTCCTTTCCTAACCTGTCTCAGATCCTACCAGTTACCACTGATTCTCTCAGATCCATTTCTTTCCATTGCTAGTCAGGCATTTTAGCAGGTCCCCCTGATTCCAGTCAGTCATTCTTCATCAAATTATAAAATAATCTTTAGGCTTTGTCTTGTTCACTAGCATAACTCTAGCACCTGGAGCATTGCTTGGCATGCAGCAGGCACTCAGTATTTGTTGGATGAATGACTCGTGAGCCTGTATTAGCTTCCTCTGGAAATTTCCCCCAAGTCTAAACTCCTGAACTCTTCTATTAGATTTTCACTGTTGCTGTTTGTTTAGTAATTTCACACCATTGAATATGTCTTCCACCTCAGCACAGCCCCCTGCTACTGCCTGCTTATTTTGTACTAGTTCTTGCTTCCATATCATTCCTGTTTCTCGGGATGCCCTTCATTTGTAGTCTGTCATGCCCAGAACACACTATTTCTACAGAATTTTTGCTTCTTGGCTCTACAAGCTCTAGTCACATTTCTGTTGTGTGACATCTCAGCTCCTGTTTGATTTTCAGTGTATCGATTTGTACCTAAATCTTTGGTGGGTATGCTGCATCTGTTCAACTTGATTATAAGCTCCTGGCGATCAAGGACGATCTCGGCTCTCGTGTAACCTTCTCTACTCAGTGCCAGTGACATACCCTACACACTGCCAGGTGTTTGGTAAATGTTCGTGCAGCGACTCTATGGAACTTGAGAATTGTTTTCTAGCGGTCCTTATGAAGTCCTAGAGAGACTGTGTGATAGAGACCACTATTAGCAAAGCAGTTTTGTTTTTAATAAAGAGATATGTATGGGGCCATTAAAGGGTGGAGAATTTGGAGGTGTGTAATTCTCAAGAGTTCGGGCCTACAGAGGAGTCATTCTGCTCTGAATAGGTGATTCTGGGATAATACTCAGCTCTGGGCTATATTGATTATTTTTATTGATACTTTATGATCCCAGATATTTAATTTGAGGAGGGGGTAACCCATAAAACTGTAGCCTAAAATGTAATTAAATCATATTTGACTTCATGGCCCAAATTTTTCCCATTTAGTTTTTAGTTTAAAACTAAAGCATATTTATAACTTGATTACAGTATAATTTCATGACAGGCAGAAGTAAGGAAAAGAATAAACCAAAATTCACTTTAAATAAAACACAAGTTAACCTTTCCCTGAAATACTGGAATATGGGAGCTTCTAAGCAATACAGAGTCTGGGTAGCTTATTTCCAGCATCATAGATATGAGGCTGCCTGAGCCAGAATAAGAAGCTATGCCATCTAGGTGTACCTCTCCTGTGGAGTTTTTATTCTCAGCCATTTGAGTTCTGAAACTGAACCCCTGGCTTGCTGGGCTGAAGGACAGAAGGGGAAAGACTCAGTTTTCCATTGTGATGAAAAGAGTGAGCGTTCAGATCTGGGAAGAGCCAAAGTGCCTGTAAGATTGTGCGTTTGTTTTGAGGTTGGCATGCACTGCTGTGTTAGCACTGTACCAAAGGCTGCTGTGGCCTATTGTCCTAGTTTCTGGGGAGGCTGAAAATGCAGGCTGTCTATTGGTCAAGACATTTTTCTGCCTACAGTTTGACTGCTTTGGTTCACACTCCTATTTTCTGTCTGTTGTGGTGCATGAAGGTGAAGCAGCATGTTTCAGCCTGGAAGCCATTCTAGAGGTCGTTTTTATCCTGCCTCATTTTGCTAATTGAGATAAATATTACAGGTTAAAGAATGTTGCTCAAGGTTGTGCACCTGGTTAGTAATTACCTGGTTAGTAACCAGGCTGGGGGTGTCATCTTGGTCTACTGATCCCAAAGGCAGTGCTTTAGAATGGTGCCTCTCTAAGAGACTGTTTTCTAGCAGGACAGTTATGTAAATATGCTCTTGTGCCTATCAGGCTGACACTCCTGACCCCCAATATCAGTGGGATGTGTATCTGAAGGTGTTAAGAGAGGTGATGAGTCTGTGGTGAACTCTTGGCCTTCTCTTTTCTAGTTCTCCTGATGGCCAGCCCATCTGGAAAAAAGACACTGGTAGGTTTCTTTGCCTTATGACTCTATCAAGGCCATGTCAAGTATGTGAACAGTGAAGTCTGCACAACTGACTGACTATTTGTAAATAACGTTGACACCACAGTGTAATGGTTACTAGTGTGGGGAACTGCTGGTGATCACAACTATGCTTGAAACATATCCATTTCTACAGTATCATAGCAGTGTTCAGATTAATTAGTGAACAACACAGAGGCTGAACATTATCTTTAAACACAGAGGAAAGGGGAGACTCTCATGTATTAATGCTGGTGACTGAGTTCTCACCCCAGCCCATCTTATGTAACTTAGAAGGCAGGGCCCAGTTCAGCCCATGGTGGATTGGTGACGGTTTCAGTCTCATTTGGGATGTATTTTCAGCCTGTTGATAGTGACCACAGAAATCAGTTTATTGACTCATTTGTTCATTGTTAGCCATTCCTCGGTGTTCCACTCCCCATATTTATTAGCTTCTGTATGAGTGCTTTGAATAAGGTAGATGTTTTTGGGTTTTATCCAAATTGATAATCAGCTGACATTAATGTTCCATATTGAGCAAAGGACACATTATGAATAACGTTACAAGAAAACATACATTAAATATGCTTTGAAGCTCCCCAAGGGAAGGTTTGGTAATTATAAAGAAATTAGCCATTAATACTATCTTTTAAACCATAAACACTTTTTTCCCCTCCCCTGAGCTAGTGGGTTATAAACTTCATACCCCTTTTGTTCTTCCTTTTTAACTCATAGCTTCTCTATAACAGACTGATTAATTAGAGTTAAGTAAAACACCTCAGGCGTCTCTCTGGTAGTTGTACTAGTGAGATTCACATATAGACCCTAAGCCCGTGGCAGCTGGTGAGCTTGTCATCTTTCTTTTGTGATCTCTTTAGACTGAGGACTCTTGGCCAGGTGCTTTAATGTCAGGAGTCCAGGCACTAAGAAAACTGCTCTGGAACACTGTGTTGTGAAGAATTGGGCTTAGGGGTCTGGGGGGTGGGGTTGCTTTTTTTTTTTAAAGGTTAGATGGTTAATTTCTTAAAAAGATATCCCAGTGCAATTTGAATCTCCTGTAATTTAGTCTAAGCATCGTTACTATTAGTAAATTTGAATTTTATGTTGCTTTCTTTTCTTTTCTTTTCTTTTCTTTTCTTTTCTTTTCTTTTCTTTTCTTTTCTTTTCTTTTCTTTTCTTTTTTCTTTTCTTTTCTTTTTTAATGAAAGTGTGAGTTAGATATGAAATGACTTAGAAGTGGGGGTAAGGAGCCAGTGTCTTGGTTAATGTAAAATTCGATAAACACTCAAGTAGTTGGTCATGGGCCTTGATAATGATCCTTGAAGATCAGCTGACAGATCAGCCTTATTTTACATTTTTTCCTCTATAGTGATTGGCAAGCTGGCAAGAGATGTTTGAGCATTTTGCAAGATGTAAACAAAAATACATTCATTTGGATTAAACTCTCATATATTCTCTTTCTGAAGGTGCACTTACAGAGTGCTATGATGAACTGGGAAATAGATACCAGCTTCCAGTCTACTGCTTGGCACCACCAATCAACATGATAGAGGAAAAGAGCGACATAGAGACTCTGGATATTCCTGAGCCGCCGCCCAATTCTGGATATGAATCTCAGCTCCGTTTGCGCCTTTCCACTGGCAAAGACCTCAAACTCGTGGTCCGCAGCACAGACACAGTGTACCACATGAAGAGGCGGCTACATGCAGCAGAAGGAGTGGAACCGAGTAGTCAGCGGTGGTTCTTCTCTGGTCGACCGCTCACCGACAAAATGAAGTTGGAAGAGCTGAAGATCCCAAAGGACTACGTTGTACAGGTTATAATGAGCCAGCCTTTGCAAAACCCGACACCAGTGGAGAACTGAGCTGGCCTGCTGGCTGCCCCCAGGTCCCTCCTGCTCCTTTTCGTTGTTGTTAGCATTTCCTACTCTATGGCGTGAAATTTATTTTCACTGCTCTGAATTCCATATGAATGAATTTAGTTCTGAGGAATTACCAGTGAAAACTTCCATCTGTGATGGAGACCAACAAAAATAATTAATAAAACACAAAGAGCCAGCCTTCGAGACTCATGTAATTACAATTTCTAATTCGAGAGGCAGTTAAGAAATAGAGAACCATTTATTTTAAAATACCCAACAACTATGTGACGGCTATATTTAAATGATTCGGACTGTAAATAGAACACCGCATCCGTGAAGAACAGCACCAAGCACCTTGTGAATACAGAATTCTTAAAAATTAGAATACAATTTCCAGGAATCACCGGTAACAGTTATAGAACTTGAGCTTTTAAAAATGGAAACAAAAAGAGCAGTATTTGAGGTCCCCTTCTTTTCTGGTCTTAATTCTTAGCTCAGTTAATGTTTAGCCATAAAGGAGTAGAGACTGGCAAATTGTGTTTGAATATTGCTTGCCCCATCCCCGTATGTTGAGCTCCTTACTTTACATTCACACTAAATTTTGGTGCCTTCCAGCACGTTGGTGCCAGCACCTTTCTGGAACACTAGGCAATAATTTAGTCAGTGAATTCAGATCTCTGATTTTCAACTGGTACTTAGTTGAAAAGTCTCTTGTCCTCTTGCTGCAGAAGTATTTTGAAATGTCTTTATAATGAAGTTGTTTTCATAACCAGGTTTAGAAGATCACTACTATATAATACCTTCATTGATCTACCCACTCTGTTTGGAATTTCTCAGAGCTAACTGTGCCCCCAGCTGCATGGATCCTAGGCCAGGGGATGCAGGGAATCAAGTACGGCTTGTTAAGAGGATAAGAAACTATCTCTTCTCCCTGAGTTTGCAGGAGAGGGTATAAGGAGAACCCATTCTATCTGTGCCTGGAATGATTGTGCCTATCTTCAATCTTTTGAAAAAAATTTCGACTTATAATTTACTAGTGTGAAAGATTACTGTCATCACTTAAACATCGGCTGTGAGACCAGATGATGAAACGTTGCTTCTGTACTTCAGTGTTTCCCACAGCTCTCTGTGACCTCTGGTTGTGGTGGATGAGAGTTTTCCTCTCTCATCTTTCCTAGCAAAGAGGCAGGTTAAGAACCATATGCAGACTAGATTAGAGGACTGACAAATTCAGTGAGATAACCTGATTCTTCTGTACTGTGACTGCTAAAAAGCTACCAAGGATTATATTTAATTTGGAGCTGTTTCAAAGTTAATTCCATAAGTGAGAAGAGGGCTCCCACCTGCTGTGTGAACCCCTGAAAATCCATGAGATGGAAAAGTAGAGGCAAGAAGGCACTTAATGTTCTCAAATGGGAAATAAACCTCCACACCTATTTTGGATGTGAAGCACCATTATTAATTTTAATGGCAAAGCAAAACTGCTAATCAGTTTAAATGTAATGTTTAAAATGGTATTCAATTTCCTATATAGCCTAATTAGACATAATATCTATAATTGTAACATATGTTTCTGAGAGCTTTAACTACTTCTCTTTTTTTATGCAATCATTTTAAAGATTGTGGCTACATCTAATTTAGGTTTGCTGATAATTGGATCTAAATTCAACAGGAGACAGCAGCATTAATTCCAAAGGAGTATTTTTGTATGTGGAAGTGGAGGTACACAAGGGTATTTCAATATATAATGCCCTGTCATCAGAAAGTTTCTTTGTTAATTTGTGTGCCACATTGAATAGCAACATCTCTCAAAGTTTGTCGACTGGAAAGAAAAAAGTGTTCAAATCTATTTTTCTTAAGTAAATTTTGTGATACAATAATCTATGGTTGGTAAAAGGTTTTTTGTTGAGGATTTGAGCTCTCTTAAGAGCTCAGTTTATTTTAAAGGAACATACACATTGAATAACAACTTTCTGGGCATGTTTAACTAACCTAGGTAAGAAAACCATGGTGCTGTTTAATTGTAAATAGATTGATATAAGATTGGACCAATACTTGATGTGTACAATTTTAGTATGTAGGGTTTTTGTGCTTTTTTTAAAAAAAAAAAGTTCAATTTTTCCTTTGTCTTTGCCTTTATTCTGGGTTTTTAATTATTATTACTCTCCACAATAAGAGTAATCTGCTTCATTCTGATAAAACCTTTAAAAAGATTGTCCCTCTTTTCAAAACCTCAGCTCAGTAAATAGCAAGTTCATCATCACCAAACTTAGGCTCTGTTGTGTTAAACTATACATGGTCAGTGTTAGATACGCTTTATTTGCTGCATTGAAATCTTGGTCGATATTGGGTTGTTGGTTTTTCTTTTTTAAGAATCATGTTGTAAACCAAAGCTCATAATTCAGTTTTTCAGAAGCACTGAGCTCATTTCTTGATCCATTTTGGATCAAAATAGGTGATACATGGGGAAAAAAATCCAAACTACCGAAGTGAAAAGCCCCTCTTCCACTCCTGTTCTTCATCTCCTGCGTGTTCTCCCCAGACGTGACAGCTGTTGCCAGTCTCCTGGATCTCTTTAAAATACTCTAAGCACGGGGGTTCTCAGACTTGAGCATGCAACAGAATTAACCTGGAAGGCTTATTAAAGCGCAGGTTGCTGGGCTCTTCCCCCAGCGGTTCCAAGTTAGTAGGTGTGAGTTGGACCCAGTTGTTCGCATTTCTAAGAGTTCCCAGGTGCTGCTGCTGCTGCTAGTCTGGGGATCCCAGCGTGAGAACCCCTGCTCTAGTGTATATGCCTGTATCCACCCACCTTACCCTGTTTCTTTCCATAAATGTGCTATTCTATACATTTGATTTTTCTCTAACATGATGAATCTTAGAGATTGTTCCACATAGGTCGAGCTAGATCCGCTTCGTTCCTCTGACGGCTGCAATGGTATTCCATTGTTTGCAGTGCCACGGTATTTCAGACTCTCAGTTCTGGTCAGCCTGGCTGTTTCCAGTCTCGCTGCTGCAAACCATGCTGCTGTGAAAAGTCCTTTTCCATAGCTACATCTTTGCATCTGTGTATACCTGCAGAACACGCTCCTGAAGAGGGAGCATTGCTACGTGAAACAGTATTCATGTTTAGAGAGCAGAGGTGCTGAATGGCCCTCCACATAGGTTGTACAGTTTAATACTAACGCAGTGTGACTGCTCTTACTTCCCTATACCCTTGACCGACTTTTTGATCCTTGACAATCTAGGTAAAAACCTATGTCCTGTGTTTTTACTTCTGAGGGTTTTTTTCTTTGTGTGAAATTTAGCATTTTACTGTATATTTTAAGGCCATTTGTTCTTTTTTCCTGTGAATTGTCTGTTTGCCCATATTCCTAGTGCATGTTGGTCTTTAGTCTCTATTTTTTTATAGTAAGGAGATTAGTCATTTTCTGTCATGTATTATGATGTTTTTTGTGTAACTTACCATGTGCAAATGTTAGGTTTTTGCATGGTCAGATCTATCAGTCTTGTATTTTATGGCATCTTTTTTTTTTTCCCTCCTAACTTCAAAAATTCTTACCCACTGAGATTATAAAAAAATTTGTCTCATGTTTTTAGTATTTCTTTTATGATTTCATTATCTGGAGTTTATTTGGGTGCAAGGAATAGAGTAATAGCCCAGACTTATTTTCTTTCCAGATAGCTAGTTAGCTATCCCACTTTACCAGATCAACTTATTGAATAATTTTCATATGTTTTTTTCTTACCAGTGTGAAAAAAACCTACTATTTTACAATAATTTTTTTTTACTTTTTTAATGGTCTTTTGTTGCTAATTGGATGGATTAACAAATATATCCATATCTACCTCCAAATCTCCAATGCCATGCTTTAGTATTTACTTATGGAAAAGAGAAAAGAGGAGAAATGTGACTGTATCCCTTGCTATAGCCAATCTCCTGTGAATTTTGTCCTCTTGCTCTGTAGGGACAGCTGACATACGTAACTGCCCATGTCAGCAGGTGTCGGCAAAGTAGGTTTGGCCTTTTTTAATCTTTGTGTTTAACATGAGGCTTGTGAGAGCTCAGGACTAGTGCAAGAGATGTTCTTTCACTTTGCTTAGGTAGCCCTCTCTCAAATTCTTTCCTCTTTACAGCTGATGTAGATTGTGGAGGAACCAGTCCCATGGCCCTGGGCTGAAACTGGACTCATCTCTTCAGCCACGCCTGCTGTTCACCTGCCCCTGGGAGTGCTCCTCCTCAACCTGCTGCCTAGGCTTCTGAAGAAACACATGCTTTCTTGACCAAGTAATTCTAACATAGCTATGACATAGAAACAATGCAGAGTGTTACTGCCATTCAAAAACATAGCTAAACGTTCTTGGTCTAAACTCTACCCTTAAAAGCGCAAGTGGATTAATTCACTGTGGAGACAGTGAAACTTAACTGAAGCATCTACACGCACACCTGCGAATACACATTTAAAAAAAATTTAAGTCACATAATGTAATTGAGAAAGAAGCCCTAAAGTGGACACTGACAGACTGGTTTCTTTGTTGTACCCCTAGTCCCCAAAGCGCCACTTTAACTGGTGCAGTTGAATTTTAGTTTTCACACTGAGTTTCGGGTTGGGCTTCTCAGAGCTAAATGCTCAGTCTCCTGATTACATTCTAGAACCACCCAGTTTGTGAAAAAGCTCTCAAAAGGATTTTTTTTTTAATCTAATAGATCACGGTACTTTTTATAATCACCTTGATGATTTCCAGGGAGGAGGGAGTAACTACCGGCTCATTCCTGAAACAAGTTTGACTCATGAACAGACAGTCTTAGCTGAGCAATATTCTTGTCTGGTGCACGGACAAAGTGATTTTCGGTGATTGTTCAGTGCTCTGGAACTCGCTGAATGCCTTACGGTCAGTTACATTGCACAATGTATCCTTAACAGATTCTTGGTTTGTAGTAAAGGAGCTGTGTTTCTTTACTTGCCAAACTTGTTCCTCAGAAATCTATGCTAGAAGGAGATGTGGTGATTAGCATTATGCAGAAGGGAGCTCTGAGCCATGAAATGCTAAACAAGCTGCTAACACTGGAGTGTTACTCAGATCGCTTGCTCTAAGCACAAGCATCTAATTGATCTTGGATGTGAATTCTGGTCCTACCACTGTAAGTCATGTGCTCGGATAAGTTTCTTGATCTTGACACTTCAATTTCCTCCCTTGTAAATTGAGGATAACACCTAATTCACAGGGTTAGGACGACAAAGTCATGCCTCTCAAGCACCTGCCTTACCCATAGCAAGCACTTGCTACATGGTGGCTATGCTTAGTGTCACAGTGCAACCAGGTAGAGAGGATTCACAAGCCCTGAGCTAAAAACACTTAAAAATTATTCAAGGGGTTAATTACACAAAAAATTAAAATTATACAAGGGCATGTAATAATTATCTTACCCTAGTAGATTTGGTCCAGTTGCTTAAGCCCCTAACTGGTCGAAGAATAACTCAAGTTCTAGGAAGAACACAGTCCCCATATCCTTAAAAGGCAGTTTCCCTTAAGGTTAGAAGCATTTCACCACTTGCCATTTTGGAAGTTTGTTTTTGCCTCAGGATTGGGAGGATAGAAAAAGATTCTGAAAGCATGGGCCAATAGTGACAAATACTGGGAAAGCATCACCTTCCAACTGCTTAGCCCCGGCGAGAGTTGGTAATTATGTGGATGCACAGGGAGGGACTTAGTGGACAGGGTTGATCTGCAAAGCAGCAGCAGAACTGGGGCGTGTCAACAAAGAGAAAGTGGTTACTTCACATTATTGTGGGTCATATGTGAGTCCAAAGGTCATGAAAGTTAAGAGCCTGCTGTCTGAGGGGCATTCATCTATACCTTGCAAGTGTAAAAACACAAAGACATCCACTTTGATGTTCTAAGTTTATTTTTAGATATGTTAAAAGTTGTAACTACTTAAACTTTCAGATTCATTTATTCCATGACTCACTCTTGGGCTCTCATTAACTTGACGTGACACTTTCTTTTTGATCAGAGCTTTCTCTTTCTTCTCTCTCTTTGCTTTCTGCCTCTCCTGGTATTTGTCCATGGAGAAGATAGTAAACAGCTTAAATTCCTTGTAATTAATATGCTTATGTTGGAGGGAAAAAAGAAAAATTATTTCAGGGAGAATTTGATACTTTATTTCAGATGATGGCAGGACTGTAATCATTTCACATTTAAAAACCTGGAAACTTTATTAGAGAGGCCCAGTATTTAGGACATAATTATAGTCTGTAGTTTAGGAGCCAGGAACAGAGAGTCTATTGTGGACTCTGAAGGCACCAAGGGTCACTTTCTTAGTTCTGTGTCAAGTCCAGACGCATCAGGCTGCCATCTGAGCTTCTCCACAGTGAGAGCCAGCTTTTTAAACCTTAGCCCTCACTTGCTTCCCCAACACAGACTTCCTCTTTAAACAGGCAGAATTCCCTTTCTTTACCATAGTTGTTTTTTCTTGGGGTTTTTACTTAAGTGTTCCCGCCCAAGAATTTCGTCCTTTCTACTTACTCAAATCTATAAACCCATCCCCCAAGACCACAACTCCTGCCATGTTAATCTATTTCCTTCTTTAAACTTGTAAACAAAATGTCCTTACAATTTTTCTGCAAATTTCTATAATTTTCTATCCATGTTATATGATGTAGCAGTTAGTTATTCAAGCCTCTCTCCCCCTCAGGCCTATAAATCTCCAGTTTTTCCCAATCCCAGCACCATGACGTGCTCCAGCAGGTTTCTCCCACCCTCCTCCTCACCCGTCTCTCCTGTAGGTAGCAGGACATTGTCCTCCACCTTTGGACAGAGGGGCTGCCACACCACACGTTGGGATCGGCACTTACGCGGTCACCTGAGATGTCGAAGTTACGGCAGAGTTCTCTAAGTTGCTGTTTTCTAATATTGAAGAGAAAGTTGTATGTGTGGAAGTTGGCTGGGCCAATTTTCAGCTCCCCATTCACGTCAAGCAGCTCAAAAACAGGCCGGGAATGGCGGAAAATAAACTGCTCTCCCAAGTGGTTCTATTTTGAGAGAAATATGTAAGAAAAGGAACGGTGCCGTTGGCGCTACTTTCTAAACTTGCTGCATCAAGACATAGTCACTAGTCCATTCCCTAGAGAGCTTAAAGACAAAGGGTAGAGTCACAGCAGCTCAGGGTTGAGGGGGTTCTGTGGTCAGTGTACCAAGTCCTGTGGCAGCACCTGCATTCAGGGGGCACTGCCGCCCCCTGCAGTGACTAGGTCTGCTGGACAGAGCTCTGGTTGCTAAAATGCATTTCCTTCATGTTCCTTGAAAATCTACTTCCGGAAATTGCGGCACTGGTAATAAAATGATGAAGACACACGGTGCCTTTCCTCGAGGAGTGGGAAATAGGTAAATACACACTAGGAGTGTGTGCAAGGTAAGGTGGGAACCCGAAGAAGAGCGTTTCTCGTCTCCACCATTCATCTCTTTCAGAAAATTCTCTGAAAAGGGATCATTGAGGGAGAGAGGCTTTGGGATTACCAGTGATTATTTAAAACCCACCAGCTAAAACGGGCAAGGAAGGGCATGCCAAGAAGGGATGCAACAGGGTGAGACCAGCTCTTTAGGAAGGCAGTGTGGGAGGGAGGCTGGGTAGCCTTTGGGAATTTCTAGGTTATAGGTGGACCATTTAAGAACCAAAAGTAGTTCTCCCCTCATTTTTTTCCTTCCTGTTCCAAGTGAAAAGAAACAGTCTGATGCACTCTTAATTCAATGCTACCTGTAGCAAAATGGTGGCAGCAGCCAGGCTCTGCCCCTGCCCCAGAGCCTGACTCGTCACTCACCTCCTGCGCTAGCAGTATGCAAACCAGCATGTAGAACTGGTCAAAACCAATCTCGCCCTCGGCGTTCCAGTCCAGCATGTTGAACACAGTTGTGATCTGTTTCCGTTTCAAGTCAGTTACATGATTAAGGAAGTGGTAGAACAGTATATCTGTTGGAGTCGGGGGCCAGGGAGGGGGAGACGAGATGGATTTTTCTGAAACAGTTCCAAAATGCTAAACACCTAGGAGTCACATAAATAGTAGTCATGTTGAAAGCTTGCTGACCCGGCAGTGGT